AGACATGTAACAGAAAGTGAACATAGAAGTACCTTTTCTTTCAAATAGTACATAAAACAACGGTTTTCCTATTTCCACAGTTGGTGACATTTTAGGATTGATAAAATACTTGTGCTGGTTAATTTTATCAACCTGATATTAGCTAAAGCCATCTGAGAGGAGAGAATCTCGGTTAAGAAAATACCTTTATAAGATCAGTAGACAAGCCTATAGGGCATTTTCTTAGTTGGGGATTGGTGGGGGAACACCCAGCCCATTGTGGGTGGTGCCATCCATGGGCTGGTGGTCCTGGGTTCTCTAAGAAAGCAGGCTGAGCAAGCCATGGGGAGCAAACTAGTGATCAGCATGCCTCCACGGCCTCAGCATCAGCGTCTGCCTCCAGGTTCCTGGCCTGTGTGAGTTTCTGTCCTGACTTCCTTCAATGATGAGCAGTGCTGGGAAAGTTTATGCCACATAAGCCTTTTCTTCTTTGTCATGATATTTCATCACAGCAATAGGACCCTAACTAAAACAAGTTGGCATCTGGATTGTGGGGTATTACTGCTGTGACAGAGCTGACCACTTTATACAGGAAAAGCTATCGAATGTGCAGTGCTTGGTGAGCTTTCTGTAGAAACTTGGAAGATAAGAATGTTGAGCAGTGCCTGACTTGTGACGTTTGAGAGGAAAGTCTAAAGGCTCCATCGGGGCCATTTGTTATTTCAAGTTAAGATTCTGTGCTTCTGGTCAGCTGGGGCTGAAGAATCAGCAGAACTAATAAAGTGAAGTGTTTGCTTTGCTGGTCTACTTGATGCTGATTGTTGTATGGAGCTGAGAAATTAGTGCTTATTAAGAAGAGACCAGAATTGTTGAGGCAAAATCTTCTTGGAAGCGTTTCCTGAGAGTCAGCATACAGAGGCTGTGTCCCAGAGGTAACCAAGGTTGTACCTCGTACTGGCAGCCAAACTTGGTAGTGTAAGAGTCACCCAGGTGGGTACTGGCATTGAAGACATGAAGGGGGCATGGAGGACAAGACAGGCCATTGGAGAAGTGCAACCTCAGTGGCAGTTGAAGGCCCAGGGTTGAAGGAGTCACGGCGAAGTTGAGACTCGGCACCATGAAGAGAGCCCATTCGTGAAAATGCAGCCCAGTTGCAGCAGAAGACGCCGGCATTTTGGAGATACTGGTACCGTGGGATGACCGCCAAGAACAGCAGCAGCAGTGGAGTGGAGCCAGCTCAAGCCACGTGTGCTGCAGGGGCAGAGCAAAGGAAGAAACCCAAGCCACTTGGAGGAGCCCAGACATTATACACTGAGACATTCACATTTTTGGAGTTTGGTTTGACTTTGATTTGACTGTGACTATGCCCTCGTTCTTCCCTCTTGAAGTAGGAAATTATTTTCTTTTTATTTTACAGAAGCCTACAATAGAAAGACTTTGGATTTTAAAAGTGTTTGGCTATTTTAAAGAAACTGAGTTTTTAATGTGTAAAGACTGTGGAACTTTGAAAGTTATTTATGGTTTTTAATATGAGATCTTCTGGAATGAATGATACAGGAAAAGTGGTTTAATGGTAATGTATTTGTGTGTCAAGTTGACAAGGGGGTCAGTCGTGCTGGATAGTTTTTTATGTCAGTTTGACAGATGGGAATCTCAAGAAAATGCCTTCAGCTGGGCGGTGGTGGCGCACGCCTTTAATCCCAGCACTCAGCGAGGCAGAGGCAGGTGAATCTCTGTGAGTTTGAGGCCAGTCTGGTCTATGGATTGAGTTTCAGGACAGCCAGAAATAACACAGAGAATCCCTATCTCAGAAAAAAGAAAAGAAGGAAGGAAGGAAGGAAGGAAGGAAGGAAGGAAGGAAGGAAGGAAGGAAGGAAGGAAGGAAGGAAGGAAGAAGAAAATGCTTCTGTAAGTTGGGCTATAGGCAAGCCTATAGGGCATTTTCTTTTTTTTTTTTTCTTTTTCTTTTCTCACTAAGGACTTTATTTGAAGGTTATCGTCGAACCTCACTATTGGGAAAATAAAACATTTTTACTTATAGTGAATGTTTTGACAATACAAGTCATGTGTTCCTTTAAAAACAGAGAAGCATACAGTAGGGCCCTTAATCCAGCACGGTTGTATACTCTTGTAAACTCAGTATTTGGAAGACTGAAAGAGAAATCTACCAAGAGTATAAGGGCAACAGAGCTGCATAAGAATGTCAAAGCTACCCTGCCCTATGCGGCAGGATCTTAATTCAAAGAAAATTGCATCCTAAAAAGACATCTGACATACAATGCAAAGTAAGCAACTAATTCAAAACTGATTAGTAAAATGACGTCAGAACCTGAAAAAAAATTAAATATAGCACAAGGATGCCTCATTTATTTCACCGTTCAGAATAAATTAGTCTAGAGAAATAAAATCTTTCTAGAAATCTTCATTAAAACTTTATAGTAGATCTAGAGGTGGAGCTCAGTTTCAGAATGCTGGCCTAGCAAGTACAAGGCCCTGGGTTCCGGGATGGGGGAAAAAAAAGCAAGCAAATGCTGACTTTAGATCATTAACATAGGATTTGCTGAAGGAGGCAGAGGCAGGAGGATCACGAGTGCGAGGCATTTTCTTAATTAGTGATTGATGGGAGAAGGCCCAGCCCAGTATGGGTGGGGCCACCCCAGGGCTGCTGGTCTTGGACTCTATAAGAAAGTGGGCTGAGCAAGCCATAGAGAGCTTCATGCCCTCAGCTCAGCCTCCAGGTTCCCAGAGTAGCCTGTGCTGACTCCATCTACTGCTCAGAAGTCCTAGCACTGTTGCTGTTCCTATTACCATGGTGTCCTCAGCACTGAGCTGCAGGCCTCCGAACCTAATCTAGTACTGCCGTAAGCCACCTGTCCTACCCAAAATGGAGCAAGTTCAAAGAAGGCTTGTCTGCTAGAGAAGAGTAAGGATAAAAGATCCTATAGATACATCCTCTGCCTTTTCCTTTAACATTGCAAATATTAAGACCATTAACTAGCTTTGAGATGAATTCCTATAAAGGAATGTAAATATTGAGATGAATTCTCATTATTCCATTTTTCAAATTTTAATCATTTTTCTTGAGAATTAAGAGGCAGTGGGGGCTGACCTTGGTATAAAGTGCACAGGTGTGGTTCTGGGGAAATGTCTTTGCAGATGATGTTTTTGCTGTGGATGTTCGTTTATTACTTCCATAAATATTCTGTTGTCAAAACATGACGTACTGTTTGTTAGCAGTGCTGACAGGAAGGCTCCTCTTAATGGCAGCATTCATATTACCCATATACCCTGTCACTTTTAACTTAGCAATTTTAAGAGAATTGCTTTTGGTAATTACTTAAGATATTTCCAAGTTTATTGATTCTCACCCTTGTTTAACTGAGTGAAGTTTGAGTGGCAGTTCATCTGCTCAGAGATTGATGATTTTGAAAAGTCGTCAAATCCGCATCTTTAAGTCTAAGAAAAAGCTTGCTGCTTCTCAGCACTGATCTTGTCCTGTGGCTGCCAGAAATGCAGTGCACCGAGGAGAATGCACGGCGGCCAGTGCTGTCGGGGACACACATGTATAACATGCCACTCTAGTGGTCACCTGGCAGTTGGACAAACTTACATCTAAGCCATGTTAACTAACAGCTGTCATTGGGAAAGTTTTCTAGTTTTGTTTAACTCATTCAGTCATTGAACAACTGGAAGTGATACTGTTCTGCCAGTTAGAGTTAAAAGAATTGGCACTATAGCCAGTGTCCTTTTGTAAGTTTTCTTGAGCCTCCTGTCTTTCCCCTGGTGTATAGTCAGTAAATATGTGTGCATCACCTGATCCTCACAACAACCCATGCAGTCACTTGGCCATAGACTCTGTTCTCAGCTGCTGGAGAGGAACTAAGTTCAGTCAGGCTGAGTGTATTATGTAAGCTTATCCAGATGTCGTCAATCCAGGAGCCTATGTTTCCTGTCTTGTGTCCCAATGTGCTTTCCACTCCGTGTCTAAAATGATAAATGGACTTTTCAGTGTCATCATACATAGGAAATTTACAAAGCTCCATGTTCAGAAATTATACAAAAGAAAGGAGCTGATGTTTCCATTATGACATGAATGGAACCAAGTAAGATTGCTATAGCCTTCAGGACAGAAGGAAGTATATAGAATAACCAAGATGTCCTACAGCAGAAAGTACATGAATATGGTGTAGGAAGAGAAGAGGGGGTGCATCCTGAGTACGCATCCCTAAAACCCAAAGTGGACTAGAAGTTATCCATGCTATGTATTCATGTTTATGATCTCAGTTTTATTCTCATTCAGAGTTTGCCTGTTCAGATGATTTATGTGGTACAGGAAAAAAAAAAAAAAAACATGATCCTTTGGATGAAGCCTTAATTCAAATGTCAACAAAGTTAACCATATCTGTGCAGTCTTAGATGGACAGCTTAATTTCTTTAAACTTCTGTTTCTGTATCTACAGAGCAGAAATGACAGCACTACACTTGTGAAGACTAGCTACCATGAAAAAATGTCTATCCCTTAAACACTAGAGACATATTAATTACATTAAGCTGTCTTTCAACACTTAATGGCATGAATTTTGCTAGATCTTTCTAACTAGATTTTGGTTTTAAATTTCTGAGTTCATTGTTTCTTAAAATTGAATAATTTTCTCTTTCTTGATAGTCTATTATGGGTCTTTATAATAATTTTATTATGAAGTAGCATTAAGTAAAAAGAAATTCTCCAACTATACCCAAATGTAAAAAGGGTCAGTTTCAATTTTCTCCTATCAAGGCTTTAATAGTGAGGGGTTCTTGTCTTAATTATAGGACTCATTCTTTCTTTCCATAACTAGAATATGTATAAGATGGAAAAGTAATTGCCTTAGTTAATAATGGATTATCATTCTTAGCAAAATGAAAGACATTTCTATAGGAGTAATCCTAGAAATATTTATTCTTCTTACATACTAAAATGCCATTTTATTTTTGTTTTGTGATTTATTACATACATTTCTCCAGATTCCTTAACATTCTACCTATATCCTTTTAAAAAAACTTGTGAAAATAGATGCTGTGAAATTCATGCTAAAAAACCACACGGTACGTCTTAATTCTTTAGTGACTAAAGTTTTCTGGATAGTTAGGTCAGACATTGGTAACTTTCCATGCTCTTTTGCTTCCATTAGAGTGAACACTTTCCATTTCTTGGCATCGGTGATACTTACAGTCTCAGTGACTTCAGGTGCCGAACAACTTTCTACACAGCCCTCACTCGCCTTCTGATGGTAGACCTAGGTAAGTTGATGGCGCCTAACAGGAGATGAACACGGTGTGAAAGAAAGAGTGGAATACTAAGTCCAGCATTTCACTTAGTACAAGTTGCTTTCATTGACCGTTTTCATAATTTCTAAGCTTTGCAGCCAAAAGACAGATCTTTGTACTATTTGCCTTGATTCTTTATCTCAGAATTTTCTTTCTTTGTGTCCTCTGACCCATTAATTTTACATTTACTAATCTAGAACCTGGACATGGTGGTTCAGGTGAGACAGGAGGATAGGATAGCAAGTTCAAGGGCTGCCAGACCACAGAGTGAGTTCAAGATCAGCAGTGTGGCAGACCCTGTCTCATCTCAAAATTTTCTTTTTTTTTATTGATATTTATTGAGCTCTACATTTTTCTCTGCTCCCCTCCCTGCTTCTCCCCTCCCCTTAAACCTTCCCCCAAGGTCCTCATTTTCCCAATTTACTCAGGAGATCTTGTCTTTTTCTACTTCCCATGTAGATTAGATCTATGTATCTCTCTCTTAGTGTCCTCATTGTTGTCTAGGTCCTCTGGGATTGTGATTTCTAGGCTGGTTTTCTTTGCTTTATGTTTAAAAACCACCTATGAGTGAGTACATGTGATAATTGCCTTTCTGTGTCTGGGTTACCTCACTCAAAATTATGGTTTCTAGCTCCATCCATTTTCCTGCAAAATTCAAGATGTCATTACTTTTTCTGCTGTGTAGTACTCCATTGTGTAAATGTACCGTATTTTCCTCATCCATTCTTAGATCGAGGGGCTTTTAGGTTGTTTTCAGGTTCTGGCTATGACAAACAATGCTGCTATGAACATAGTTGAGTACATGTCCTTGTGGCACGATTGAGCATCCTTTGGGTATATACCCAAAAGTGGTATTACTGGGTCTTGAAGAAGGTTGTTTCCTAATTTTCTGAGAAATTGCCACACTAGGCTGTACCAGCTTGCATTCCCACCAGCAATGCAGAAGTGTTCCCTTTACCTCAATTTTATCTCAAAATTTTCTTTAAAAGTCAGGAATACAACTCAACAATAAAGCACTTGTCTAATATGTACAAGACCCAAGTTTCAATCCACACTACTGCAAAGTCAAGGGAAGGAAGTCTCGGAACAGTCTTGGGAATACCTGTGAATATTTGCCTTGTTTTGATATATTTCTTGCATTTTATTTTCCACATGTTAAATTTTATTTGTTGTGTGTTTGTGTTTGTGCTCATGTACCACAACATACAGTTGGGGTCGGAGGACAACTTTCAGGAGTCAGTCTGTTCTTCTACCATGTGGGTTCCAGTGATCAAACTCGGGTAATCAGGCTTGGTTGATGACTTTGTCCAGTAGGCAATCTTGCCAGCCCAACAGGAATGGTCTTTCCCTTTGTTGTTCTGAGACAGGATCCAATGTAGAAGTGCAGGTGGGCCTCAAGCTGAGGTCGAGAACAAGCTGAAAATTCTCCAGCTTCTACTTCTGGAGTGGCTAGGATGACATTACAGGCCTGTGTACGTCCACTGCATTTTAGGCAGTGCTGAGAACCAAACCTACAATGTCTGATGTACTAGGCCAACACTCTACCCCCTGACCTATATCCACAGCATTTACGTTGTCTAAGTCTGCAGGGGCAAAGTTCGTGGTTTTGTTTTGTTTTTGTTTGAGAAGGTGTCAGGAAGGGGTGGTTTTGAACTGCTCTGTAGCTGAGAATGACCTTATACTCGGGTCCTCTTCTGTCTTAACCCCAAGTAATGAGATACTGTCTGGTTTTATGTGTATTTCCTAGTACAGGAATCAAATCCAGGGCTTTGTGCATTCTGAGGAAATGCTCTACTGGTACTGCAGTGTAGCCCTGCATTGTTGCTGCTGTTTGTGTGTAGTAACAGTTAAGCTCAAGACAAAAATGGAAAATATGTGAATGTCTAATAATAGAATTAAAAGTATAGTATATAAAATTATAGTGGCCTGTGGCACAAAAAATTGATGGCTGAAGACAATACAGTACATAAAGTTTAATGTTGTTAAGTGAAAAGGCAATACTGAGATAACAGGGCAGTTGTGTATAGTGGAGACAAATACATCAAAAGAAAGAAGCTAAATAAAATGTGGGGCTTTGTATGCTAAATAATTACTGTCACTGTTGTGGGAAACCATATGGAAATGCTTTAAATAATTAAAAGTAAAACCACAGCATGCTTTTGAAATCCTGCTAGTGGGATGCACACCCAGAGGGAGTGAAGTCAGTGTGCAGGAGACATCTGCACCGACGTGTTCCTTACAGCAGCAGTCACAGAAGTCAGGAGATAGAAGCAACCTAAATATCCACTGGCGCGTGAACGAGCAAAGAAAATGTCAAACACACTAGAGTACTCTTTAGCCATACAAATAAGAAAGTGAATCATTCGCAGCTGTCTGGAGGAACCTGAGGGGTCGTGTTAAGTGAAATAAGCCAGGCACAGACAGACCAGCTACTACCTGATCTCACTCGTACATAGGCTCTAAAAAAGGCAGTCTCGTAAAATTGAAGACGGTCGTTTCCAAGAACTACTGAAGTTGGAAGTAGTGCGAAATGACGTCCTGGTTTTGATGTGCCCTTTCAATTAGTGATAGGAATAAATAAAATTCAAGAAATGTGACATCTAATTGTGGGGTGGGTGATCCTATGTCTCATGCATGCTAGAACCCCATTCCCAGCTTATGCCTGTGATGTTCTTTTTCAAGGGTACACGACATACTCTCGTTACAAAAATGGTGGCTGCATAAGATATTGCATGTGCTAATTAAATGGTAGATGTAATTATATGTTGCTGTATTTTATAATGCCAAAAATACCTATTTCTGATTTTTTTTAATTTATTTATTTATTTATTAAAGATTTCTGTCTCTTCCCCACCGCTGCCTCCCCTTTCCCTCCCCC